TCTGGGATCAGCATTCCCTCTGATCACTGCAAAGCTGTGTGGCCCTTGAGGATGGAACATTTTGGTTCAGTCTTGTGACATTCTCTCGATAATCTGTTCATTCAGCGACTGGGGAAAATCAGAGTTGCTTCGAGCAAGTTGTGAAGACAAAAAATGTTGTTTCTAAATTCCTGCCTTTGTAATTCCCCAAGAGAAATAAGGTTGTCAGATGGGGACTTAGCATTATCCAGGGGATAAAGATACTGGCTGGTAAGCCTGGCCTAGAGGAATGGTTATTGGTAAATAAACATCTTGGGAGTGAGCTGTGTTATCCAAGAGATTTGGATACCAGGAAGCTGTTCTAGCTCAGAGGATTTTTATAATGGATTAAGGGAATTCCTTAAATAAAAATGTCCTGCTCTTGGAGTAACTCAGAACACTTTGCCTGGCAAAATTTAAACCTCTAAAATAAACAGCATGGTTCTAGTTTCCTTTAGAAATAGGTGCTTGGTGTTACATTAAAACTCCGTGGTTGTTTTCTCTTCTGCACAAGGGAAGCAGGAGCTTGTTTGTGGCATCCCACATCTGCAAATTCCTCTGCCTGTGCTCCCAGACATCCACTGAAATCCCCGGGGGCCAGGGGATTAATCACAGCCATCAAGTTAAGCATGCCTGTGTTTAGCAGGAGTAAAGATTTATTCCAAGGATCAGCTTTGTTCCAAGGCCTGGCCTTGATCCACAACCGGGATTTTTCTGTCCTACGGCAAGGCAGGTAACAGAAATGTTTGTCCTGCTGGTGTCTTGAAATGCTTCTGCCCTTCCCTTCCTCGAGCCTTGGCTGGAGGCTCCTGCTCAAGCAGAACTGGGGAGCCCTGTGTGGGATTTGGCCCCGTATTCCTCCTGCCAGGTGGGTGGGTGGGATTTCTGTCCACCCAGAGGGGAACTCCTCGGTTTCCAGACTGTGAGCAGGTCAATAAATGGGGAGTCACGTTGAACCAGAGGTTTGGCTTTAAATGTCTGATGGGAGGATCTGGGAAGATTTGTGTCTTTGAGCTGCTTTCCTGCCTCTCTGTCCCAGGCATGTGGGACATCAGTGGGAATTCTGTTGTCTGTTGTTGCTTTTCTGGTGTTTTTTCCCTATTTTGAGCCACCAAGCAATTTGATCAGCCTGGGTTATTGCCCATTTCCCCTGTTACATTCAAATTCAGAAGCCGTGATTACCATCTTAATTTTCACCGCCAGAGCATGTGATATTTTATATCAGAAGGAATTTCCTGTAAAATGAAGTTCTGATAACAGAAAGTTGCATTAGTGGTGGAGATGAAAACTAATCCCTATCGCTGAGGCTGCTGTCGCCTGGCCTACACGGAGATAAGACAAAACCATCCAGAAAACAAATGCATCTTTTTGTAACCCACACTTCATTTTTACGGCGTTATTAAATTCCCTTGGAAGGCTTTCAGCAGAATTGGTTATTGAATTCAAAAGCCTGGCAGCCAGAGTATTTTTCCACATACGTTTTGATCTGATCTATTTATCTGATTGTTTCAGATGTGATGCACGAGCACTGGCTCCCAGTGCCAGCAGGGTTCCAGCAGCTCCTCCTGATCCCGTTTGGCTCTCTGGCTTCATTCCCTGTGGAGCCTCCAGCAGGTACCGTGCTGGAGTTGGGAGTCCTCTCAATAAAACACCTGCTCTGTGAATGATTTTGTCCAGGGAGAGCCACGGTGTCTGGGCTGTAAGTGACCCACAGACTGGATTGCTTCCTCCTCGGTAGGAAAGGCCAGGGAGGAGTTAGGAATGCAAGACATGGGAATTGGCTCTTGCCCTTCAGCTAAATGGTTTACTTTGAAATGTCTCAAACTTCATTTCCCTCCACAGTCTTTGCTGGCCGTTCATTTTCTGGGATGAACTCTGTGATTTCCACGGCTGTGAAACTTTGTCACCTCTGGTTTTCTTGTCCCCTCCAAAAAGCCCCACGTGAAACCAGACTTGGATACTCCTTGTTCCTTACAGTTTCCAGAGGATTAATGCTTTTGAGCCTCAGTCTGGTCGGGACTTGCTTCCCCAGGGAGGGGGGTTCTGTTTCCAGGTGCTTTTTCCATTCGAGCACAGAGCTCAGGTTTTACAGCCTCATTCCATTGCTCTGTGATGGGTTTGGCTTTTGATCCAGGGTTTCAGGCAATGGGAACAGGGCCATGGATTGAAACAAGGACAGGGTTCCTCTGCTCTCCCAGCGTGCTGCCCTGGAATGTGGAGTGACTGCCTGTACTCTGACACATGGAAAACCCATCCATCTCCTGCAAAAAAGGTTGCTCCAAGTTTTTCATCCCTGCTACCAATTTCTTGCTGTTTTTCTTAACGTTCTCCCTCCTGACAAAGGGAAAATCTGGGATAGTTTTTCCTGCTAGGTGAATTCTCTTGGTGGAAGTCTTCCCTGTTGTTTTTCTAGGATTCCCTTTGATACAGGTGTGCCTGGGTGGGCCACACAGCAGAAGTCTGGATATTTAACATTCTTCCTGAGTGCTGTAATCTCAGGGCCCAGCAGTGCAGAGCCAGGAGCTGCTGGGTTTGTTCTCTCCTGAGGAGGATCAGCTCCCAGCAGACACCCTGAATTATTTGACCTTTTGTCTTTTCATTCCTTTTCCTATCAAATAATTCTCCCGTTTGTCATCTTTATGTGGTGGCTGATGACACTGGAAATGGTTCAGCTGTAAAATGAGCCTCTCATTTAAACAGGATCACCTCGGCTCTGCCAACCAACCTTGTCAGGTCTCCTCCACCGAGGAAGCTCCAGGCGTTGTCATCTCATATCACCTCTTGCTCTTACTCATTTCCCAGACAACCAAGTCCATTTGTCCTGTTACATTTTGTGCTCTAAAGGTGCGTGCTGGGTTATTTGAGGTCAACAACAGCTCTTCACACCTTAATGGGGCCGGGAAGTTTTAAAGCACATCTAAAGTGCTTGAGTGATCACCTCATTCACACCTGTCTCTGCTCCCAGACACCATTTCAATGCTCTGCTGATCCAGTTCCTCCCATCTCCTTCCCATGGCCCAAGCACAGGTTCTTTCATGGATGGGGAGGTGCAGAGTGAAGAGCAGTTGTAGAGTTTCATGGAAGTTTTCCTCTATGGTGGAGCTGGCAGAAGGAAGCTTCTCCGTTCTCCCTTGGCTGTGCAGGTGGAACAACACTGATCTGAATCACAAATTGACTCAGCTCTCAGCTGATTCTGGTTTTTGGGCTCCTCTGTCTGGTCCCAAGCTTTCACCTTCACTGCCAGAGAAACATCAAGTGCTGTGTGGGGATCTGTGGTAGAGAGAGGAACAGTCCCAAGTCCAAATCCTGGCCCAAGACACCACCCAAGTTTTGTTTGCTGGTGGAAACCACCCACTCCCATCCTGCGCTGCCCAGGGGGACCATCCTCATCCTCCCTCCTCCATGCAGTCACCACTGCTCTCTTAATGGCTTGGTCATGCTCTCCTCATCTCCATCTGAAATGCTCTTTAAACCTAAAACAAAAATGATTAGGCAGGCTTAGGAAACGGCAAAAGCTTCAAAGGATTAAATGCTAACAGTTCCTGCTACCCTCGGAGAGATCAAACACTCTGTGCTGTTCGCCCTGCAGCGGCAGAAAACGGCACTAAATCTTCCCCTGCAATCAGGGGATTTCAGGATTGCGTGTACGGAGGAGCAGGAGGCTGAGTTATGAGGAAAGATTAAAATGACAAAATATATATATCTTGGCCGAGCCACTGCTAAGAGACGGTGTGACAACAACGTGACACCCGTGTGGATGGACCTGAAGGGCACAGAGAACACGGGGAGGTGGAAAAGTTTGGGGTGAACGTGGCCCAGAATGTGGGGTGATGGTAGGAGTGACCTGAAATGTGGGGGTGATGTTGGAGGCAGGAGGCCTGAGCAGCATCACCCCAGGCTGACAAGTCATTCCCATCCACTGATTCCCATCCCTGCCATCCTGGGGCTTAAACATCAGCGAAATCACTGCGAGTGAAACCACTGCTACCTGTTTTGTTAAAACACACCCGTTTTGGTGAACTAAAACCAAGGAGAAGTTCAGGATATTGCTCTTTTTTTTTGGGGAAGTGCTGAATTAAGGGACAGAGACCACTCTGGAAATTTGGGGATGGACACATAACACACACAGCTTTTCCACTGATAATAAAGGCAAAGCCCACAGGAAGCATAAAACCAAGTAGAAGTTCAGGGTATGGTTCTTTTTTGGGAAGTGCTGAATTAAGGGCCAGAGACCACTCTGGAAATTTGGGGATGGACACACACACAGCTCTCCCACTGATAATAAAAGAAGCATGAAAGTAACTACAAGTTCAGGACATGGTTATTTTCTGGGAAGTGCTGAATTAGGGGCCAGAGACCACTGGAAATTTGGGGATGGACACACACACACCGCTCTCCCATCGATAACAAAGGCAAAGCCCACAAAGAGCCCTGGAGAGGAGCGGCTCCATCCCCTCTGAGGGCCCCGCCAGCGGAGACATTTAAGCCAAAAAGGATATTTTTTCCTGAGCGAGCGACGGTCGTTTAACTCTAAAAAGAGGGTTTTTTCCAGAGCGAGCACTAAAAAACACTAAAACACTAAAAAAAAAGTGTGTTTTTCCTGGCCGAGCCCCGGCCGGCGGGGCCCGGCCCCTCCTCGGCGCCTGACGCCTCCCCCGGCCGGGCGGCCATGGCGGCTCGGCGGCGCTGAGCGGGGCGATGGCCATGGCGGGGCCCGGCGCGGCCCCTCCGCGCCTGGCGCTGGCCCTCGCCGCCCTCGCCGCGCTGGTCGCCGTCAAGTACTACCGGGACGCGGAGGCGGCGCGGCGGCAGGTACCGGGCACGGGGCGGCGCCGGGGCCGGGAGGGGACACACGGAGGGATGAGGGGATGGATGGAGGGGGGGGACGGGGACGGGGAATGGCGGGCGCGATCGCGCCGCCGCCCCGCCGAGCGTGAGGGGGGAGGCGGCGGCCGCGGGGCTGAGGGGGCCGAGCACCGCACATCGGTGGCCAGCGGGGCTGAGGTGGCCGCCACCGGGCTCAGGGGACCACCGGGAGTTGGTGGCCACCGGCGGTGAGGTGGCCGTGGTCAGGCTGGAGGGGACCACCAGCCATCAGTGGCCACTGGGGTTGAGGTGAATGCCAGGCATCAGTGGCCGCTGGGGTTGAGATGGCCACCACTGGGCTGAGGGGAGCACCAGGAGTTGGTGGCCACTGGGGTTGAGGTGGCTGTGGCCAGACTGAGGTGACCACCAGGCATTGGTGGCCACTGGGGTTGAGGTGGCTTGGCCAGACTGAGGTGACCACCAGGCATTGGTGGCCACCAGTGTCGGGGTGGACACTGGCCCTGAGGTGGCCGTGGCCAGGCTGAGGTGGCCGTGGCCAGGCTGAGGTGATGTCTGCCAGTTTTAAGTGGCCGCCAGGGGTTGAGGTGGCTGCTGCTGGGCTGAGGAGACCACCACACTTAGGTTGCCACTGGGGTTGGGGTGGCTGTGGCCAGGCTGAGGTGACCACCAGGCTTTGGGTGCCACTGGGGTTGGGGTAGCCACAGGGGCTGAGATCCTGCCACCAGTTCGAGGTGACTGCCACACATCAGTGGCCGCTGGGTTGAAGTGACCACAGAGCTGCGGTGGCTGCTGGCGTTGAGGTGGCCACAGGGCATTAGTGGCTGCTGGGGTTGAGGTGGCCACCGCCAGGCCGTGGTGACCACAAAACCATGGCAGCCACTACTCAGCTGTGGGGACAAACAGGTATCAGCAGCTGCAGAGCTTAAGGTGGCCACTGCCAGGCTGAAGTGGCCACCGTTGAGCTGTGGTACCACACACCAGTGGACACAGGGCTTGAGGTGGCCACTGCTAGGTTTCTGCAGAGCTGTGGTGGCCACCGGGCTTGAGGTGACCGCAGGGATTGTGGTGGCCGCCACCAGGCTGAAACCACCACGGAGCTGTGGTGGCCACCAGGCTCCAGCAGTGACCAGTGAGACCAGCTGCCCCCTGGAAGGAGGAGGAAGAGCAGGAGCACCAGCACCTCCTCTGCTGCGGGCTCTGAAGGTCACTGCAGAAGCAGCAAAAAAAACAGGGGATGAAAACAGGAACAGGGTTTTTATGGGTTTTTTGTGTGTGTTTGGTTTTTTTTTTTATTTGAAATTAGGCTGATTGACTGGTTTTGATTGTAATCCCCATAATTCCAACGGCTGTGCCGTGCTTTGGAGAACACCTTTGTTGGAGATTGTGCTCCCCTGGCTCTGCGCTTTGTCTGTGAACATCTGAGGAGGTTCTGGGAAAAGAGCAGGCTTCCCCTTCTTGATATTTCTGTAGTACAAGGAGAAGTGTTTTTAAAGGATGTTTTTAAAGGATGCCTCTTTCCTTTGTGTCTTCTTGCACTGCAAAAAGGGAAAAGTGGTTCAAACCAGTTAATTAGAAGAATCTTTCCTTCAAGGACAGAAGGGTGAGGACAATCCTCACAGCCTGACACAAGCCAGGTCTTCTGGAGGTTTGTGTTTTTCCAGAGGACAGGCAGACAGCTGTCACTGGGTCCTGCTGGAGAGGAGAACAAAATGTGAACAGCCCAAGGGTTTCATTTTTTCTTCCTCTTGCTTCAAACATATGTCTTGTCTCTTTCTATGGAAATGTTTGTTTAGCTAAGCAACCCACAAGCAGGTGGGAGAGGAAAACTCTTTGTGAAAAACCACAACTCTTCCTCTACAGAAAGACTGAAGAATCTCGGTCTTACTCCTCTGGCACAAACAGGGGAACTTTGTGTTTCTTATAATCCTAGATTAGAAAGAAAAAGGAAAAAAACCCACAAGCTGTGAGAGCTTTTATGTGAATGTTATCAGAAAGCAGAAGGCCGAGCCCTGACATCTCTCTCCCCTTTTAAACATCATTTTTATCATCCCTCGTGGCCGAGTGCAGCAGGACTGGTGTGTTCTCTGTGGAAACCTTTGTTCCTCCCTGGTTGGGGTCTTCTCTCCAGCCAGGTGGGCGCTCCTGGGGTCCTGCTGGTGGTTTGTCACTTCTTAACCCGTGTGTCAGTGCAGCTGAGGGATGTGACCGTGTTTTCAGCGCTGTCTGAACATTGATTTTTGGATGCTCTTATCCAACGCCTGTGTTCCCACTTCATGTCCTGCTGTCTTGGCTGCAGCCAGAGATGTTCCTGTGGGGTGCAGCTGCTTCTCCTCCTGCCTCCAGCCCTGCTCAGTAAGGGATGATGATTTCTCCCCACGTTCCAGCAGCAGGCAGAGTCCAACCAGATGAAAGCTGGGAGAAGTCCTGGAGCCTGGCACAAGGCTTTGTGGTGTGATCCTGGCACCTGGCTGACAAGGGCAGGTGCTCAGGAAAACATTCCCCATTTACAGGGCCAAGGATGCACATCCCCATTCATTCTGGGAACAGAAGCACAGTTTTAGCCCCAGGAGTGTGGGCAGCCCACAGTGGATTGTTCCTGTGCACAAATAACCATCTCGTTCCTTCATTTTTTCACCTCTGTAGCCCCTACACTCTCCCTGCCTTGTCTTTCCTCAGCCATGCCCACATCCAGATCTCCAGTTTGTATTCCAGGGTCTTTATTTCTCTCTATCTCAAGCCTGGAACTGCCCTGGAAGGCTCGTAAGTGCTTTTGTTGCTGCAGTTGATGGGAGCAAAGCCTTCCAGGCTGCATTAGTGCTGCTTCAGGCTGGCAGGCAACAGATGGAAAATAAACTCGTTCAGGAGCTCTGGGGATGGTGGTGGTGCTGCAGGCAATGGAGAGCAGCAGAATACAGAGGATTTGTGCTCACAGCTCCAGGTCTTTCCAGAGGGGTGTCAGGGGAAGCTGCCCCAAGTGATGGGTCACAGGGGATGTGCCGAGGGCTGGCAGTGAGGGGCTTGTCTCACTTGCTCCATATCCCTCCCTTCTCTCACACCAACGTGGAGCTCTTCTGTTGTGCCTCCAGGTTTTCCCTTTCCCTGCAGGGCTGAGACTGTGGAGTGGAAATAACTGGAAGCATCCAGAGCCCTTCTGGGGCTGCTCCAAGGGAGACATCGCCTTTCAGCCGTGCTTCCCACTGGGTCTCCATGTGGGCTTTGCAGAGGGAGAAACTGAGGCACAGGGTGGCTGGAATCTTGTGGAGCTTTCTGGAGAGTACCATGGGGTTTTTGGCTCCCTGATGGATGGCTGAGGAAGCAGGGAGCCAAAATGTTCCATCCAGTCCCAAGGCTGGATGACCAGAGCGGGGCAGTTGTGGGCAGTAATACTGGCTTGGATCTCATGAGTTCCAAAGGCTCAGCTCATTCCCTTTGTGTTTTTGTGATGTGGATACTCATGAATTTGACTGCCTTTGTTTCACTACCCATCAGTTCATTCTAGCAATCACCATCTCCAGGTGCTCTGAATATCTAAAGGTTTAGGACTCACTAGCTGGAAAAAGTGGGAAATGTATCTGACAAAAGATTTTTAATCTGACTCTGAGCAAATGGTTCAGTTTGAATTACTCAGCCAGATGCAGTTTTAATATTCTCGTGCCAACAGTTCCTGGACACTGATCCCAACTGTAAATAGCACAAAATCCTGCCAAGGGGTGTTAATCTTTCCCCTGGATGGTGTTTGTGTGCTGGGAAGAATGCAGATTAACTCCAAGGCTGAGAGGGGCCAGAGCGGATTTCTGCAAGAGATTGGGATGAAATCTCACTTGCCTCTTCTTCCCCAACTAGGAGCTGGCTCTGAAGTCCTTGGGAAATGAGGGGCTGTTCCTCTTTTCCTCTCTGGACACAAACAATGACCTGTACCTCAGCCCAGAGGAGTTCAAGCCAATAGCTGAGAAGCTGACAGGTAGGTACCTGTGTGCCTTCCAGAGCTCTCCCTGCACAGACCAAGCAAAAACCAAAGATAATGCACTCCACAGGTTTTATTCACCTAATATTTTATTCACTTTATTATTTTCTGGGCACTGTTTTGGGTCTTATTTACATGAAGAGAGGCTGCGAAGCTTTACATGTTTTTGGAAAGGCTTAAGCCCTAGACATCACTCTCACAAAGTAGAGTTTTTATAAGGTGGAGGATCCCATTGCTGGACTAGCAAAGTACATAAGTTACTTTGTGTGGGGCTTAAAGGGGATTTGAGATGGGTGAATGCAACAAATACAGCTCAGCCCAGGCTAGGCCAGAACTATTAGTGAGTCACAGCGTTCCATTCATCCGCTCCCCCGGCTGGGGCGGCCCCTCTTGGATGGCAGTTGTGGGAGATCATGTTTGGAGACCATATCAGTGCAGAGCAAATGTCTCTGCTGGTGCCAAGCAGGGAGGAGTGTGGGGATGATGATGTACAGTGGAGCTCCCAGTGCAGTGGAAACACAGACAGTGTTTGCTCGTGCTGTCATGGATTGGCTCGGGCGCGTGTTGGGATCGCTCCGAGGTGTGGTGAACCTTCCTGGCTGAGCTGTGGGGTTTGGGGTCGTGGAAACGTGGATTCCCTGACAGGTTTGGGTTGGAATGGACCTTAAAGCTCATCCAGTTCCAGCCCCTTGTCACGGGCAGGGACACCTTCCACTAGCCCAGGTTGCTCCAAGCCCCGTCCAACCTGGCCTTGGACACTTCCAGGGATGGAGCAGCCACAGCTTCTCTGGGCAACCTGTGCCAGGGCCTCCCCACCCTCACAGGGAAGAATTCCTTCCCAATATCCAATCTAAACCCACTCTCTTTCAGTTTAAAGCCACCGAGTTGGCTGCTAAAAGGAGGACTCCCCTTTAACTCACGCAGCCAAAACTGTCTCTGGGGTGGGTCTGAGTTCTGCTGCATAGGGACAGCTGGGAAACTCCCAGTGCTCCTGGATTTAGTGGGATAAATGTGTAATCACTTCACAATTGCTTACAAGGGGAAGGAGGGGAAACAGCTGCTTAAATTCCTGTCCTTTTGTCTAGGGATTGCTCCCATCTCAGAATTTGAAGAGGAGGAGACGCCTGATCCAAGCGGGGAGACTCTGTCCATTGTGGCAAAATTCCAGCCTTTGGTCATGGAAACAATGACGAAGAGCAAGGATGGTTTCCTGGGAGTAAGTGTCATGCAGGATGTGTATGGCCACAAATTCTGGAATAAACACGTCCAGTGGTCTGGTAGCATCACCGGGAATGTGTGCTGGAGCGTTAGGAGAGGGACATAGTCCTGCTGAAGCCTTTGGGATTTGCTGTGATGAGGAAACTCTCTGCTTCCTGCAGCATTTCAGTGTTTTCAGCACACTCAGCAGCACGGTGCCCCAGTTAAGACACCCTTCCTGGGAAGCTGGGAGTAGGAATTAGACGTGGCTCTCCTGGAGCTAATTCCAGGAGCAGTGGTGTTAGGTGGCACATTCCCCTCTCCTCTATTACTCACATTCCTGAAAGCTGACAGAACTGTTTGGGTTGGTCAGAAGAATTTAGAATGTGATATGTATTTTTCCCCCTTTTCTAAAGCCTCCTTTCATCCATGAGCATTGGAAGGCCCCAGTCTGGGCTCTGATAATGTCTTT